TGCTCACCAACCTCAGAGATTACCTTCAATGGACGAGGAGACATTTCTCCCTTTCCCAAACCTGTTCGCTAGGCAAAGCTCAAATCTTAGTTCTCATGCTCAGTCATATACAGAACATTCCAGATCAACTCAGGATCAGTAAGGTTGAGTTTCGATTTGGTGTTCCACTGTCCCCGTTTTCTCCTATTTCATATTTTCCCACTGGCCTAGGCATTATGTGAATATTCGCTTAATATTGAAATATTACACACTGTATTTAGAAATGGGTCCACGTGTTAGAAAATATAATAGTCGTTTTCTATGTTTGTTTGTCCCTGTTATGTGAAATTGGAATAGGAATATGTTCGTCAGTATAGTAGTTCAGCAATGGTGGACACAGCCTCCGGTAGCTATGTGACTGTTCTAGCCGACATGGTCAACTCCAACAACGAAAAAATCTTCCTTGACCGTGCCCCCCAATGATTAATGAAGAAATAAAATGCCTGTGATACCTACGATTGCGAACTTCATCCAGTCTCCAGCCCCACGTCGCCCAGCTTCTCGATATCCTTGTTGACATGAGAATCGAACTAATGAATGACATTTTCAAAGAATTCGAAGTTGTTTATGACAAGTTGAAAGATACAAAGTTTGTAATAAAAATGAGTGTACATTGTGAAGTGCGAACAATTGAACCGAATTGGTTGCTTAATGCATCACCCTCTGTAGGACGAGACATACTCGTCTACCTTGGGATTTGGACAAACCGAGGATCCTCCAATAGGCATTCCTTCTTGAATGACATTGATTATGTGGGCTGTTTGCCATCAAATCATCAAGTATCCTGGTTGTATAAGTTTATTAATCTACATCTCAGGTGATACCATCGTATACTTGAATCGAACATCCTTAATTTGCTATAATTCTTGTTTATTTTCGGATTAATTTTTCAGCAACTGTGTTATGTAGTGCTTTTTTATAAGATTGACTAACGACTCAGTCTATGATATGTTGAGAGGACACGAGACACCAGTCCACCCAATCAATTGAACACGATGGGCTGGTGATGACTTCTCTTCCTCTGGCCTA